TTGTAGCCCCGGCACCTCTGGGCGTGGCAGTTCGTAGCCCCGGCACCTCTGGGCCTGGCAGTTTGTAGCCCCGGCACCTCTGGGCGTGGCAGTTCGTAGCCCCGGCACCTCTGGGCCTGGCAGTTCGTAGCCCTGGCACCTCTGGGCTTGCTGTGTCAGTTATGAATGTAAAAAATCTGCTTGAGCCCCGGTACCTTGTTCATTACAAATTAAGGACTGCCTGTGTCCATAGGGTCACCGAGGGGCTGGGTGTTGGCTGGGCATTGTGTGCTTGCGGTATGAGAAGGGAGCCTTGAAGACAGCGAGTCTCTCAAATCTTCTCTACAGAGCAAGAGTAAGATTTGGAAAACCGGCTTCTGAGGCACTGAGTGTCCTTGAGAATTACTGGGGGGGGTGAGGGGAGGAAGGGAAGAAAGACACGAGGTGAAGGGAGGAAGTGAAGGAGATGAAGGGAGGGAGCAGGAGCTCATTATTATTCTGTCCATCATACCTATCAGGAAGTCAAATATGGCCATGTCGATGATATTGAGCAGCCGGTTGCCGCTGTTGTAGGGGTAAATCTCCCTCACCGTGTTGCAGTAAAGTGGATTCACTTCCCACCTACAGGAAACAGAGGGGAAGCGTGAACGCAAGGCGGCTTCTCAAACACATCCTCCGGGAGCCACACGAAGGCAGGGATGTGATCGCGGTTGCCCCGGCCAGCTCTGCCTTGCCACGACTCTGTGAGCCCGGAGAATGGGCAGCGTTGAGATGCCAAGGGTTGGATTCAAGGCTGGCATGAGCAGCAGCGGCTCTGCTGACGAGTGCCAGCTGCTTCCACCGGGGCTGAGTTTGGCCCACACTGCTTCTCAGTGCCCGGCACATTTAGCTGGCTACCCTGCTTGGCAGATTTGCTTGTCTCTTGGCCACAGCAGCGATATTCCCCAATCCGCACTCCCCTTCGGCTGAGTTCAAACCATCCTAATAGCAAGCAGCCAGAGAGGGGAGGGGAGAGATTCTGCACCAGGCCCAGGCATCGGGGTGGTAGGCTACACGCAGGCAGCCTCTGGGTCTTGGCCTCTGCTCCTCCCCACCGGGCACGATCACTCGCCCCCTTCTTGCTACTCCTCTGCCTCCGTCCACCGCACCGAGCTGCAGCATTTACCCACTTACTCCTCTTTTCCAGCAAACGAGTAGGACCGGATCCAGGGGTTTGGGATGGAGAGTCTCGGGGCCAGATTGAGGGACGGCAGGAAAGCGGAGAGGGATCCCTCCAGCAGGTGAGGGTTCCCACACACGGCGTACTCCGTCTTGCACATGTACGGGCACTTCGCAAAGAAACACACGTTGCTGGCTATGGGAAGAATGGAGAACCAGCTAGTTAATATAATGAATTGGCTACTGTATACGTGCACCACTGCCCTCTGCTGGGTGGGGTTGGAATGGCTCTGCTTTGGGTCATAGGCCCTACACTGCCACCACCCAATGGAGATTCACCTTTAACTCAGGTGCTGGAAGTGGTGTTTATGCATCAGGAAGATCTCAGTGTTGCCAGGCAGTTCTGAGTGGCCATGATATTTAGCATTGTAACAGGAAGTCCTAGATGGCCACCGATCCGTTACGGTGTGCTGTAGCGTTAGCTGTAGTCAACTGCATACAGTACTGGCTTATGTCTCTGTGTGTGCGCTTGTGAGGGGCAGGAGTGGCGGACACTCCTTAAAAGTGAGGGGCTACTGATCCCCGCCCCCCTGTGCTGCCCCTTCTCCCCGAGCCCCTGCCCCTGCACTGCCTCTTCCAAGATTCCACCCCCTGCTCGCCCCTCTCCGCCCCCTCACCCTTACGGACAGTAAAAAGTGATGGAGCCATGACCTTCTGGTCCCCCCTGTTCTGGCACCCCCAGAGGGGGAATAAATCCTGTAGGAAAGTTGCAAATGATGGAAGCAAAACACTCTCTGGACCAGATCCTCAGCTGGTCTAAGTTGAAGTCAATGGAGCTTTTAACAATTTACATTAGCTGAAGATTTACCTCTCTACCTGTTGAAGAGACTGCAAGTCATAATGTCAGAGAGAGAGAGACGACACACACACCACTGCCCTCTACAGGATGGAATCTGAGTGTGAGCGGTGGGTATAGCCCACCTGTTATTCCCCACTACATTTCTAACTAGCTACATAATAATGTTACATACACCAAACCACAATAACAGAACATTATTAAGGTTGCCAAGTCAAGTACTCAGAAGTTAGGAGATGCCAGATTTAGAGTTGCCTGTGCTTAATTCAGCCCCCTTGTGCATGTGCATTACAATACAGTCTTTAATTACGTGGATAGAATCCAGTTCTCCAGCCCAGCATTCCACTGCCTTAACCATGGGATCATCCTTTCTCTTCCTGTCTCATTCACCACACACCTTCCATCTTCTGCCACAAATGAGACAGGGGCGCTAAACACAACAGCCTCATTCACTACACAGCCCTGATTCGGTGGAAGACACTATAGAGGTATTATCATAAACATGTGTCATGCTGAGTTTGATCTCTCCAATGCAGCATCTAGCACACACTTCCTCTGGACCTTTCCTTCGTACACCTCTTTCCCCATCAGCTTGGTACTGAGGAATGTATTCGTAAAAGGAACTCGCTTCTGCACCTTCACTCACATACCGGGTGAAACGAAGAAGACGCTCTGTAGGATTTCATTCTTGGTGACCTCCAGGATGTCCTTGGTGACGTTGATCAACCTTCCAATCGTAGGCGGGACCCGTCGGAAATCCAGGATCCTGTCGCAAAAGCGAAAACGTGTCAATCAAAGGGTCCTGGAGCAGAGTCCAGGAGGTGGGGAAGGGAGATGATTTCTCAGCACATGGTAGGGCTGGGAAAGCGGTCCAGCAACTGAATCCAAACCCCGCTCCATAGAAAGGAGCTTGTTTCCATTCTGAAACCACGCTCCTTTTTAAAAGTCTGACAGCACTGCCCAATTCGAATCTTTCTTGTGTGATCTCTAGCAAATATGCAAGCCCATTTTACGCTCCAAACCAAAAGAGGTCTGAGCTGGGATTTGCCGTTTTGACAGTTGGGCCTTGTTAGAGTTTGGAGACATTTTGGCTATTCCATCCAGGATCTGCTGTAATTCTAAGCATCTTTTCCTCAGCTAGTTGATCGTGTATCTATATGAGTCTGTTGTCTCTTTCAAGGGTGACTGCCAAGGGCCTGCACAATGTTGTGTTTGACACTCTGCAGAGATGGGCTGAACCTGTTACAGCACAGCACAGACAGTGGGAAACTGGGAGGGGCTCGCACACACCAGGAGCCACTTAGCCTATTGTCTCAGCTGATTCATCTCCCTGATCTCACTTCGGAGAATCAGCGGCCTGGGGCTGAGGGAATTTTTAATGACTCTGGGAGTGGAAAACCATTGCTGATTCCTGAGTCAGTAACCACTGGGCAGGATCAGAAATGCCATGATGCAAACACTGAGCAATGCACTCAGCTTCCAAGAATCAAACATGAAACTGGATTTAGCTTGTCAATTAGCAATCACTTAAAAAAAAAACAAATTTCCCTCCTATCTAGCCTCTTTCCTCTTCAGACTTCAAAGCACTTTACAAAATTGGGCAGGTGAACATAAGACCGGCCACACTGGGTTAGACCAAAGGTCCATCTAGCCCAGTATCCTGTTTTCCAACAGCGGACAGTGCCAGGTGCCCCAAAGGGAATGAACAGACAGGTATCATCAAGTGATCCAGCCCATGTTGCCCTTCCCAGTTTCTGGCAAACAGAGGCTAGGGACACCATCCCTGCCCATCTTGGCTAATAGCCATTGATGGTCCTATCCTCCATGAACTTATCTAGCTCTTCTTTGAACCCTATTATAGTCTTGGCCTTCACACCATCCTCGGGCAAGGAGTTTCACACAACACAGCGTCAACCTGTGGAAAAATACTTCCTTTTGTTTGTTTTAAACCTGCTGCCTATTAACTTCATTTGGTGACCCCTAGTTCTTGTGTTATGAGAAGGAGTAAATAACACTTCCTTATTTACTTTCTCCACACCAGTCATGATTTTATTGACCTCTATCATATCCCCCCTTAGTTGTCTCTTTTCCAAGCTGAAAAGTCCCAGTCTTATTAATCTCTCCTCATATGGCAGCCATTCCATACCCCTAATCATTTTTGTTGTCCTTTTCTGAACCTTTTCCAATTCAAGTACAGTGAAACCCCGCTATACCGCGATGTTTGGGGTCCAAAAAATTACATTGTGCTAAATGCGGGGTCGCGGTATAGCGGGGTTTCAAGTCCGTCAGTGGTCCCCAAGGCGGTGCATTGATGTGCGCCGCCTAGTGCCCAGCAGGGGAGAGAAGCCGCAGCCCCACGCCTGCCGGGGACAGAGAGCACCGGCGCCCGCAGCGCTGGAGCTCTCTGTCCCCGGCAGGCGCGGGGCCGCGGCTCCTCTTGAAGCCGGAGAGAAGCCA